ATATATATATATATATATATGCATATCCTTAAACTGGCTGACCAAAAATATAACTTAATAAAATACGAAATCTCAGTAACTCTCCTACAAGACCGTTTATCGATTAGTGTTTTGGCAAATCTTCAACAAAAGACAAATGATATATTTAGTTTCCACCTTATGTGTCGTTTCGTTATAGACGGTTTATATCGCAAATGTTCACTTAACAATGAAATGTACGGGGAATGTGACTTATAAAGTAGAACATTGATGTATCATTCCTTTTACCCTTACTAAAAGTTTCTAACGGCACAACACTTGAGTTTAGCTGTATGAAAAATGAGTTGACGAGTAAAAAGAAGCAGGACAGATTGTTTGCGATAAAATGCCAGCGTTCCTCCACTGCGTCTTGACACAGCTCAAAACCCAGCTATAGGACATGACACCAAATTTCGCCTAAAACTACGTTTTGTGAAAATCCCCATAAAAAGAATAGAAGGAAACGCATTTCGAGGGGAAAGATTGTATTTGGAATCGATTACACAGATCGGCGAAAAAGTAATGACATTACATCTAAAAAGAAGATAAAATGTAAGATAAAGGAAAGACAGAAAGAATCGGAAAGAAGAAGGGAGGTGAGGAGGATAGAAGTAAGCGGATAGGAAGGACAGACGACGAAGACTCCGTGAGTTGAATTCTCTTCTCTCTTTGTCATATACATCATGATCGACTGGAACTCTAAACCAAACTCGATCAGAACGTGTGAAGCTTAGAAGAGCGAGAGATTGGTAAGCTATCCGACAAGAAGGTACCAATGTCAACATTTGTTTAACATCTGCTTGATCTGAATAAAATGCCAATATGTTCAGATTCGTGCACTAAACCGATTTTTTGTTCCTGTTTATATGAGGCTTTACTTCAGCTACTTTCTACAGAAAAGAAATCGCTACCTTTACTTTTTCAAGTCTATTACAACGTCAACTTCAAATCGAACTACAAGAGGTTCTCACTTACTCTCTTTGACACACACCCTCCAAAAAGTACGTAACCAAACAACATAAGGTATTAACAGCGAGGTATTAAGTAAAAAGCCTAGTATAAAATTGATATTCAAGTTCTCAAGGCAACGAGTATCAAGACTGGTGTCTTCTGGGTCGTTACGCCCTGATGATGGAGACAGATAAAACCTCTGAAACGTCGTAAACTACACGGAGCTACAACCCAGAAGACAGCCATCTTCAACCCACTATATTTTGAATTTTTCCCTTAATTAAATTAAAATGCTTCCCCGTCTTTATGTATTCTTCTTTGTGTATTTTTTGACGGAATAAAAATAACTCCTTGATGCGCAGGCCTTCTTGCAAAGCTAAAAACACTCAACTGGTCAAGGAATTCCTCGTCTTTTATGAAACCAGGAGGTTCGTTGTCGTCTTAATAAGGGCCGCCACAGGTCCCTGTCCCGAAGCACATGAGCACATACCATTACGGAATGCATTAAATTTGCAACCGAATTTTAATCTAAATGCAAATTAATGTTGTTTCCAATCGAACTGTGTTCTACATAAGCCTAATAATAATACACACTTGTTTTTCTCCTGTTGATTACGTTTTATAGTTTCATTTGTACTGTGCGAAGGTTTCGAAATAGGCAAGTTGCTTTACGTATCATTTTCCAGACAAATTTTCAGAAAACGTGAGACCTGAATAAAGGTTTTGTTAGGCTTACTCACTAGACTGGTGCTGAATGAAGCCAGTACTGATTTCACAAACTACACAGAAAAGTATAAATATTTGGCATCTATATTTACATCAGCCCTTTCTGGTAAGCGGGACAATGTGCTAAAGCTTAACAATTCTCGCACATTAGCCAGAATTTTACCTTTTGCCATAGTAACAAACGTAGCACTGAGATTCACCCACCCAGTCATCTTACAAAGATACCTGTCATTTCCAAGCAGAACTAACTAACTTACTAACTGACGAAAATTTATATGAAAAATATATTTTATCATTACCGATAATTGCACTGAAAACAGAACGAACGTGAATTTTTTTTCCTTTTAGCACAGTTTCTCTTTTATTTGGTCAAATGTGTGGGAGATTGTAGCATTATAATACGGAAATCGGCTATCTTTATCTGGGTGCTTTGTGATTTTACTCAATACCTTAAGGCAAATGCTGGGATCGTACCTTATTAGGACACAGCAGTTTCTTCTACATTATTTATTAATCATCGTATGATTCGAGGGTATATAATCTAAGCTACTCTCAGCGTCGTTAAATTAACTACAAATAAATATATTACCTGTACCTGTAAAATTCTGTATCTATAGATATTTCATTATATGGGCTACACGTCCATAGAATATTCTAGTATCTTTTGTAATACAAACTTTGTTTGCAAAGATAGCATACAAGAGATTCAACTGCGAATAATCTAATTTTAAATATTAATGAAACAACAAGAGTATGTCGAAAACTGAGCTGCAGTTAAAAAATAATTTAATAATAAGGTGTCCTCGGACATGTTCAAGGTACGGCAAGTCAGTAGCCATCTTTGAATACGGGCGTGCTGACACGCCATAAATCAGACAGGAAACGCTGCCGTCAAGACAAGTGCAGGCCCGATACGTGCGTGCAAAACAGAAAGTGGGCAATTTAAAATAAAAAGAAACAGCAATTTGTACCGGAAAGAGACGTCAAGTATGATGAAAGTGGTAGATAATTTCATGCAGATTAATACATCTGGAGTTATTTATAAGAAACTACTGTAGGCTATCTTGCTCGTTTTGACCGAGAATGAGAATGGTAAATTACATGCAAACGTGTCTTCTGTTAATGGAGGCAGTACGTCACGTGGAGGTACACCAGATATTACAAACACAACGTTTGAAAACTTATAAAATATTAACATACAGCACTAATACTTAGTTACTATATAAAATATCGAAATTTTAACATGTGTACTGCCGTTATGAGATATGTGCACAAAGTCTTCAAAATGAAACACATGTGTACACAACCCATGTGGGAACTACAGAATAGCAATTTTATTAAATTATGTAGACTGTTATATACGCATTTCAGTTTATTTTCTGTGACCTTCCGCCCGAAAAAATACTACAGGTGGGTTACTGGATTTTATTGTAGCATTTTCCGGAATTCAACAAGTGTTTAGTCCAAGGTACTCTCGTCTTTTGCAGGTGGCCTGGGTGCGTGTTGATACGCAGACCATTCTGTCAATCCATCATAACGTGATCACCCAGAACCCCCGAATTTCGCTCTCATACAACGACCACAGGTCCTGGTACCTGCACATCAAGAACGTTCAAGAGGCAGACCGGGGGTGGTACATGTGCCAGGTTAACACAGACCCCATGCGCAGTCGCCAGGGTTACCTGCAAGTTGTCGGTAAGTACCACCACCATCAATACCCACTATTGCATTAATTGCATAAGAAACTGTGTCTCATAGAATCAGATTGCGCTCTTGTATATACAGATACCTTCCCCGATATTAACCTATCCGCTCCTAATATAACAGCCACTGTCCGTCACGCCCCCAACTTAATCCCTTAAGATTTATGGAAATATAATAGAAATGGTGTTCTACTAAACCTAAATAAGACATGTCTATAATAACATTTCGGAACAAAACCGGTTTACCAGAATAGAATCTGGATTACTGCATACAAAATCTCAGTAGCAAAACACTTTATCTTACCACCTCACGTCAGCCCAAGTTCACTTATACAGCAGATGTGTCAGGGTTTAAATTTTATGGGTCACTGGTCACAACTTTTGTGATCATCTTACATACACGCACGCATATATATATATATATATATATATATATATACATATATAAATTTGTGTAAAACGTGACAATTTTACTCATTGTACTTCAACATAACGGGAGCAATGGTGAAATTATTGACACGACTTCAGGAGTGGGTATCAAACTGCACACACCCGTTATAATTATATTAATCTTATTATGATGTGAAAGGGTTCAATGCACTGAGCGGCAGCACTGTGTACGCGGATCTTACTCCAAGCAGAATTATATAATTATAATAACCACAACTATTTTCGAATAGACATGTAGAACCTTAGGGAATATTACCAATCACAAGATAGGAAATAAGAGATATCAGGATGTGAAATTTAAAGCGCAGTAGTGCGAATTTTAATCCGTGGTCTTATGGTCACTATGTGCGTTAACTAAAAGCTTAGTGTGGAAGAAATTAATGAGAATTGAACAAATAGACTTATGTTGTTCTCAAGTATGGAAGATGGCTGTTCAGAAAAATAAATGTATCGAAGCTGCAGAAATAAAATTATTGATATCCTTGGCAGGATACATATTACATGACCCTAAAAATAACGAGAAAATAAAAACTTAATGAGATTACAAATACCAACAGCCCCTACGAAGTAATTGGTTAGAACACGTCCTAAACAAAAATCTAAAACGAAGCCCAGACTGGCCTAAGTTAAGAACAAGACAAATTCTAACACCAAAGAAGCAATGGATAAGCAGATCTTAAATCCGGAGACAGAACAGACAGAATGTACTAAGCAGTGACATCACGTGACGTGATGAATATTATGATGATAAGTATCTATTTCCATTACAAAATTATAATAATATTCATAATGGATGAAAGTGTAACACATTCGACGCATATTCCTAACCTTACCCTTACACATTCAAAACGAATGGACAGGAAAATAGCTGCGTCGATATATCGAACGTTTGTCATAGGAAGATAAATGAATATTTCGTCAACCTTTGTACCTTTTGAAGCCGTCATCCTGAAACCGTTACCAAGTTACACAACTTCAGTGTTTCTACGGTTCATTTCTTTCGCCTCGGCTACGTGCTATTACGCGTCCATTGTCAAGCCAACAGAACAGTACATATTAGTGCAATTAATTTCACTATTATATTCATAGAACTCTTTTTTCAGTATCTAGAGTATATTTATGCGAACGTACGAACAATCTAGATGTGTCGATGGTCGTTTTTAAGCTATATTGTACAGAAAAGCTCAAAAACATAACATCGAAAAAAAGACTAAATTACAAAACCCACTCGTAGATTTCCAGGTTAAACGTCACTAGGGAACAAATGGTCGTGAAAACTACAAAGGAGATTGAGTCAAAAAACGTGTGGAATGATAATAGAAACTGTCACAAACAGGAGACAACGTGGTCCCTAGTGCTTCATAATTTAGTTCAAAATTATCTGGCTCGGTTAACGTCCATGTCAATTTATTTTCGAATTGTAACGTTACGTTTTGTTCTCGCCACGTCATCAGCGCTAGATGTTATCACTTCGTCAGCCAATGGATGGCGTAGGGACAATACAAGGTCTGGTACCCTTGCTTTTTTTTTACCCCCCCCCCCCCCCCCTAGTTTCATTCTGCGGTTGTTAAGTTGATGACAATCCGCTACATGTTTCTCTCTTTTTGAAACAAAAGACTGTGGGGTGTGTATTCGTTGACAGGACTTGGGAGGACCGCTATGTTTGTTAAGCGAGAAAAAACATTTCACCAAGAGATTTCAGGATTTTCATATAAATTATTGTCCATTATTAATGTTTAAGTAAAATTGACAAAATATAAGCTTAAGCTAAACATTTCTCCTCATGCAATGTTTCTATCTGTACTTCAGCCATTTAAGCTGTCATTTTAGCTCAACAGAGACAAGGCAGGTATTTGAAATCCTTTCGTATGCAAGGTTTATGGTTTGTTAAGAACATTATTTCAGCCTCATAAAATCCGTTTCTTTATAAATACACGTTTACAAGTTACACTCACAGTTCTTAATCTGTGAGGGGTTAAAGAAATTCGGGATAAAATACTTTCTGCCTCAAGTAAAATACGGTATTTTTAAGTAGCAGCAGGTTACTGGTGATTAGACACAAATTAATTGTTTAGAATTCTTACTACGTATCACGACCAACATCATATTCTGATTATTCTTGATGCTATAATCGTAAATCTCCACCTATCCCTTATTTCATTTCTTACAATTGTTTAATAGAATATGTTTGTTTGTTTGCTTAATGCACATATAAATATCAATAAATTCTCCTCTAGCAATCAACCGCGTCAACTGGTTACCGTAGTAAACTGACGTTTCGGGAACCAACTCTGTCCCCATCATTAGGGTTCTGATGTGACTGGACAGAGTTGGTTCCCGAAACGTCGGTTTACTACGGTAATCAGTTGACGCGGCTGATTGCCCGAGATTTTATTGATTGTACTCGCCGCGAAAGTCTCAAATCCTATACATATAAATATGTTTCACATTCGTATACGTATGTTACTGACTTCTCTTTATTTATTAATGTAAAAGTGGTGTATTCAGTGAAAAATTCTGCACTGCACGAGCTTAAATGAATAACAGAATAAACCAAAACTGATAAAAATTACGACTATACTACAATAATTATTAATAAAATCTACAAACGCACAAAAGTTCTTCCTAATAATTATGTGGCAATCGTTTTAAAATATAAAAGAATATGTTAATTGGTTTAGAAATGGTGCAGAGAATTGAAGTCGGACCGGAACCACCATCTAAGAAAGTACTACGCTGACAAAACAATATGATCATTAAAGAGAGTTTGAGAAGTCTCGTGTCAACCATAAACCAAATTGCTTAGCAAAATTTAATTAATTCTGTTTATGATCTCAAAGCCCTTTCGGATTCATTCACGGTCTGGTAGATAACAGGATTCCAAAACTTCACGGGTCCACTCGGCCATGAAATTAACAACAATTATTCACTGACGCAGCAGCTGAAGTTCCTCGTTAGCCCATCGGAGGACAGAAACAGCAACATACATTTTATACGCGTTTATCAAGACTGCTGCCAGTTCATTCATTGTCCGGAAAGGAAGTTTTGTAATAACTTTCAATAAATATACAGCACTCAGAGACATTCATGGCTGTTCTCTCATTATCCTTACAATGTTGTGTGTTCCAGTTCCTCCGAGTATTGTGGACCGGGAGACAAGTACGGATATGGTAGTGCGCGAATCTGCCAATGTGACACTCACTTGCAAGGCAACGGGATATCCGGAACCCTACGTCATGTGGCGCAGAGAGGACGGCAAAGACATCAACTACAATGGCGAAAACGGTAAGTTCACGTGAAAATGGCTAATCTGGGATCAGTACATACTGCGTCACCTTATCTACTAACAGCAGCATTGGCCGACGGTCACGTGTCTTCCATGCATATTGATATTTGTTTTTTATTTGCGAGCTCTGATGACTTTTTCTTGCCGCTAGTAACATTATTACGTATCCTGACCTATGCAACCTTGCTATCGCAAGGTTACACGACTGCAGTTCAAGCAAAAAGGTCACAACCGCGCTGAAACCCCCTGCCCAAGCTGGGGCTTGTTACTTCATACGTAAGAGAAACCAGGAGCTTTAACATCGCGGCTACCACACGTGGAGAGCTTAACAGAATTTGGAACAGCTCCTGAGACGCGTGTATAAATTATTGGGTTCCCAGTTAGCGTAATTGCCGACTAGCTATGCAGCAATACCTTGCAGGCTCGAACTGGCTAACGACGCATTTTATCTTACCTGTTCTGCTATTTTCCAGAGTATGGAATACCACTTTCCCATTTTGTTAAGACGAGAGACTTCATTTTTCGTTTTTTAAAGTGTTAACACGGTTAACATGAAAGCGCCGCTTCTGGGATATATGCACACCCGTTGATTAACAACCGTACAGAAAAAAAGAAATTTATGACGTCACAGGTATTTGAAATTACTGCCGCAGTAGCGTAACGTTTATCTCTCCACACGTTAAACAGTTGGCAAGCAACACAGTGGTGAAAACAGAACTTTTCTCTACAAAACCTGTTAGAAACAACAGTGAGGATTGTTATATACCATAAAAATCGGTCTGTCGTTGTCTACAGAGCAAATAAAAGGTGGAGAAAACTAGAGATATTATATGATATTTTAGGTTAAATTTCTGAATAATTTCATGGATTTTCAAAGGTCTTATAGACGTCGTAAAAATAAACCCCCTAAATAGACCCATACTGTCGTGAATTCTATGCTCAAATTCTCATCAGAGAAGAGAGTATAATGCCACACACAGTTCGTACGGCACATGAGCTCTCTGCCAAAAGAGAATCAACAGATCGGCAACTCTCAAGTCACAATCAGGCCCGTGACAACAAAAGTGTTTACAGTCATGACCATTCAGTCGTGTGTGCTCTCGAAACTTGTGTTCCTAGCAATATCCTTTACGTCACATGTATTAAGTATGATGACAAACGTTTGGTCTCCTGCTTTGTACGTTTGTAGCTTTTGGAATATAAACACGACAAAAGGAAAGCAATATGTACGTTTGATCATGACAGATTATCCATGTATCTCAGTTGTTCAGACGGGAATGTGATGGAATACTGAATGTGAAATGTCTGAATCAGAAGTCTGATCAAAGCGCATGTCCTGGTCAGCTCCAAAATGAATATCTGTCATAGTGCCGTCTTTGTTAAATTGTACTAACGATGACTTCATAACCAACCTCAGAATGGGAGGTGTTTTATTGGAAATCTCCTCCTGTCATGTCGAAACTAATGAAACCCAAATTCCTGAGTAGCGAGACATGCACAAAACGATTATACATTTACACATACATCTGAGCGGAAACCAAATTACTTTGACCCTCGCAATGTATTCCAAAATCATAACGAATCTTCAATCTCCGAATAATTGGACAGACACGGATAGCTCCGTTCACATCGTGCCAGTGCATCAGACTTTTCTTTGTGGGATTATAAACAAATCGCGCTTATGAAAACTGACATCTCTACAACAGTTAGAAGCTACAGCTGCTGTTACCCCAAGTATAATTGAAGGAGCAAAGCGATAACTGAATTAGCCTTTAGGTTGGATACATGCCGGTCTGTAAATAAAGCCTAACTAAACTGAACACAATTAGCGTAAAATTCTACTTCTGGTCTTTGTTAAAAGCCGATCTGGTCCAGGTCTGAAGCTAGTACAATCAGGAGACTCAACAGATAAGCCCTCTTCACCCTGTTTAAATTTCTGGTAAGGTCTTTTAAATTTGTAGGATTTGAGGTTTTCACAGCGGTGAGTCTGAAGTTTGCTGTCTTCTGGGTTGTTGGGCCTTGTAGTCTGGTAGATTTCCACCAACGTTTCAGAGGTCATACTGCCTCCGTCATCAGGGTGCCCTGAACAGCCCATAAGACAGCAATCTTTTAAATTTGGCTACATCAACGGGGTAAACAAAAATATCTGCATCGACAGTCACTTTACACATCTCTGGAATATGAAACAATTAGTGGAATCCTAACCATTATGCTTTGCGCTTATTCAATTTAAGAAATGAACACAAACATTTGGTGAGAGTGTTTTACTGTTACAATTCTATTCCGAACACGGACTTGGCCTAATTGCGCAATGCGTGCGCAACTAATCTTGACAATTTTCTTCCTAGTACCTCCTTCGTTCGTCAGGCTGCGTCAAAGTCGCGACTACGCATTCTACTGACTTATAAAAAATCTTCGCAACAAAAGATTACAAATCTGACAATCCCCCCTGTCCTTAACGTGATTTACTTTGTTAAACCTGCATGTGCTGACGTCTGTCATCGTACTCAGTAGTATGAAGAAGTGGTCGAAGTATCGGGGCAAATGTTTGCTACCAGACTCGTACAGACATCTCTTTGCGTTCTTACCCACCTCGTTTGTCCCTCATTTTACAACCATGATAACTTGCCTGAACTGTAATTCGCATTCTCTGTAAAGGACACAGAAGGGCATCTCAAAACGGCGAAGGCTTATCCGTGGCACTGGGAAGAAAATTACAGCGAGACAGCGACAAAGACTAGAATGTGTACGATGTGAGACAGGATTTGAAATAAGCCACTGATTAAAATATAGCCACATGGCTCCTATGATCATGGGAAATGTCGCAGCCAACTTTCCGCAGTAGAGAAATTTAGCTTACATAAGTTGGTCCTGGAGCGGATTCTCTGTAAACTAACCAGACGTCCCTCGGGAAGGCACCTCCGAGGGCCGTGGAGATAACACACAGACTCGCTAACCAAGTTACCAGATGCTCCCCCTGATTGCTCCTCCAAGGAAACGGAAGGAATGGAGGAGAAAGAAAGGAAGTGGCAGAGAGAGAGAGAGAGAACGAACGGTTGAGAGAAGAAAACTTAAGAGTCTATCCCGCGCGCGTAGTCCCCGTCTAAAATCAAATTTACAAAAACCCGATTACATGAACAGGTGAAGCAGCAGCATGTACTGTAAACCTAACGCAAACAAATGTCTCCTGTATTGGATAAATTCTCCAGAGAATCGCCTACAATACACAAAAACAAATTTTCACACATGAGAATCGGTGAAAAGGGTTTTGTGATACTCGAAGAATACTTATGACACGTACAGTTTGTATCACTTATAGGGTAAAGACTGGAGGAGAATCAAGTCGTATTCAGGACACCTGTCTTTTTATTAAGAATCTAGTTGTTGTTTTCAATCTGTTGTTCTCCGTCTGTTCCAATTAACCAATATTTAAATACAATGCGATTTAAAAATAGTTTATTACCTATATGATTCATAGTTACAGATAATCCAAAATATATGTTTTGTGCATCAGAAATTATTATATAAGGCAGATAAATTTTACACTGTCGTTTCACCATATGTAATTACCCACATCTTCAGTTCATGGCTAGAGCAAACACTCAAGTAGAGCTGACTTAAAATTACGTATCAATACATGTTCTCAACTGTAATGAGATTTAATTTTCAGATTAATTACTAAGAAACAGGTACGATTTTAAGAAAGCTCAGCAAATAAGTAACATTTTAATTTACTGTTACGTACGATCATAATTCCTTATAAAGTTTTTGTAAACTACGAACTTCATTTTCCTCCACGTCGGATTAAATTTACCCAGAACTACGCCGGAAGGAAAATACAAAGGCAACATTTTCAGTTCAATAATTCTCTACAGGGATAAAACCATTACAGCTGTTTTTCTTCACGTTCTTAGTTACACGAATGTCTGAATAACTAACGTTTGCTAGGTGAGACTCGAACTTCCAACAAAGTTACATATCATATACCTCTTTCGTTTCCTAAGCAACTGAATACTTTCTCTTAATAATTGCATTTTCTGACCTTCGTTTCTTGGTATCGTGTAGCTTGTCTTATCCCATGTAAGAATATTCTTCAATTAACATCATTCACTGAGCTTTCAAGAACAATTTCCGGTGTGTCGCTTCCTGTTATGAATAGGTGACTTAATCATTTTACAGTACAATAAACATGTTTGCAAAATGTATTCGGATATCCGTATTTTCCCTTACCTATTTAGCATGAGAAAAGCGTTGAAGCAGTAACAACAAAGCTTGGAACAAGCAACAATTAGCAAGTTATGGTTCGTATTAAAATGAGACGTCTGTCGCCCAGAAACACGATGACTAGACTACAATCAGTCAGACAGGTTTAAAGCCTAACGCACAAACAATGATAAAAATGCTAATGATGATAATTAAACGTCATGACTGCGTACAACTGCAGCTGCTCCATTAATAACACCGAAGTTCTTTCATCTGCATAGCCTCCCATTTAAAATCAAATCAGATGTCCTATGTTATGAATTTAGTCCTTTCTTTGGTCTCCCCATCAACATTATTTGATAGTATCTTAAAACAGTTCAAGAATGTCTTCTTTCCAATCCTTATCTGCTCCATATTAACCATCTTATTTCCCAGTCACGTTAAGTTAATCAATAAACAAGCGCCCGTCTATTGTCTTGTTTTAAAATAATTATTTATAAAACAGTAATTAAACCACTTCATTATACAAAAACACATTAACCATTTGAAACCGAAGCTCATTTAAATGATTTTAAATAATTCAATTCGTACCGCAAAGAAAACACCGCACTTCATCATTACGAATGGTTAATGCTGTTTAACGAAATAATCCCTGATATCAGTGAGAATGATAAGAAAACCAAAATACAAGCTGCTTGCGTCGCCGACTGTTATAGCAGGTGGGACACGTAATTACTAAAACAGATTCTCATCTGAACCGCATGAAAGCAAACAGAGTCGAATGTCTGTTCAGGGAAAAACGTTCGCAAGTGGGGAATGGGGAAGATAGTCTACTTATTCGTGTCTACAAGTCGCCGTTCGGTGTCTGCTTGGTCATCAACCTGTCACCAAGAAACGTCTTCACGAGAGTAACAAACCCAATACCGTGCACTGTCACTGTGACACTCGCCAGCAGGACGATGATCTATCAAGTCTAGCATCCAGATCGACGATTGTCAGCCCAACTTCACGCGACAAGTGCAGAAACATGCGTCACGACCTACATTAACGGTCACACAGGAACAGACAATAAAATTGGAAGAGTAAGGATGTTAAAACTTTATTGGACCAATCTTAAAGAACTGATGAATTTGTTCGGATGTTTCATTTAGAACTGGGTTCTGAAAATTATTAGGTCAGATTTTTGAAAGCTAGAATCTTGCATATCAATAGCCGTGTTCAATTTTATACAACACTGTGTTAGTTGTTCAAAAATATATTATAAGCTTGATAAGCTGATAGTCTCACAGTCAAACATTTACTGTATTTCATGGAACTAGAAGGTTTATTAGTGTGTTCAATGATCACTATCTTAAGCCAGATGAATCCACTGCACACTAAACCTATCTGATTTATTTCAAAACCATTCTAATATTGTCTTCCCATCAGCTCGTAGGCATTATGAGTGGTCCCGTCCGTTTCGGCTTTTTCACCAAAATTTTGTATACATTTCTCATCTACGTGATGCGTTCTACGTGCCCTGCCTACTTCATCCTCCTTGATTCGGTAATCCTAACAATATCTAGTGAATAATGCAAATAGAAAACTAAATATGGCCTTCTAAGATTGTAACGAAATTCGGTAATACCTAACATGGGACCAGCCTTTATAAATAATCAATATCAAGTGAATAGAATGCCCCGTAATGAGAACGTTATGCTGACCATCTGCCTTCCTGTCTATCATCCGTGACCCCGAACATCTAATGCAGCGTTTCTCAACCGGGGTTTCCCGGAACCTTAGGGTTCCGCGAGCAATCGCTGGGGGTTCCGCGAGAAATAGTGATGAATATGCTAATCATATGTAAATGTATTTTTGAGTAATTTTTACGCTTAATTTCACATTCGTAATTTTACTATACACGTACGACATATTCTCGGAAAATTCTTGTGTATTATAATAAAGTCTTCAACCTGTTATGTCATTTAGAAATATATTTAGCGACGTCTATACGGCGCCAGCGTGAAACCGCCTTTAGTGGTCAGTGTACAGGAGCTCTACGTGGTGGATTCACGTATCATCGAGTGACTCAAGTAAATTTTATTATTTAAATTGGCTTCAAAAATAACATATCATTGACACATATATTTGTTCATATGACAGTTTGCTTTGATTTATCTTATGCCTTTTTAACAGAAAAAATATATTAAGTTTTCCTTATGAACTTTAAGTTTATAAAAAAGAAAGAAAGATATCAATAATGATATATAATAATTTTTATGTAGGGGTTCCCTGAGACATGAATATTATTTCAAGGGTTCCGCAAGGGCAAAAAGGTTGATAAACGCTGATCTAATGTAACTCACGTCTCGTATGAGTGTCCAGTGCTTACGTTAAAAGCCTCATGTCCACAGCAAGTCAGGCAGACCAGTACGTATGTGTAGTTTTTTTTAGTAGAAATATTGCGGTCATTAAACAACGCAAGCAAACTTGGAATCGCGTCTCATCGTATCACGAACTTAACTGGTATTTAAAGTTAAGCCGTTTGCTGTTTAACGCAAATACTGGCGACTACACCCAGCGGTGCACCGATGACAACTCTGTGGACTGTAATCCTCTCCTCTCAGTTGAAGGCAAGTTTAATCCTACGCCACAATCTCCTTCGCTTTTCACTTTCCTTACACTTTAAGTCTTCTACACACTATCAGACCTACTCTACAGTAAACACAGAAACCTAAAACTAACAAATTATCCCATCCCAAACTCTAAATTAATCCACAAAACATGTCATTAGTATCATTTTCTAAGTTGAGTAAGAGATAACACGTGAATTATCTGGCTATTGAATCTCATAGAACATTTATTTCTTTTATTCTTTAAAATGGTATGTTATCTAAAGAAAACATGTGAAAAATTCGTTAGTGCTATATATTTTGCTTGAAATATTTTTGGAAGTGCTTAATATTTCTGAAAATGTCCATGTTGGCAATCATGTTGTCCACTTTGGCCCCGCATTCAGTTTGGTTAATACGTTCTTAATCACGAATGTTTCTACTTACAACGATGGGTTCTACTATTTTAAAATAAATAGCCAATACCACACACTGTGTAATAAGGTTCGTGGGTTAGGAAATAACGTATCACACCGAAGCACAGAACATTCAGTTTTTGTTGGGCAAGCTTTGTAGAAACTTTCAGTTCCTTACTAGGTATTTACCATTCTCTCTTGGTTTCAGTTAATGTTGTGGACGGCGAAGTTCTTCACATTACGAAAGTCAGTCGCTTACACATGGGCGCGTATCTCTGCATTGCGTCCAACAGCGTCCCCCCCTCTATGAGTAAACGGGTGCAGCTCCGGGTACAATGTAAGTACTCACACACTATTACCAGCATTTCCATATTATACATACACTTGGCAACAGTTAAATAAGCAGATTTATTTTCAAATTGGTTGCTACAATATCGGCTTTCCCCCGTGTTAACTTCGTGCTTTCAAACGAGGTTAGGCTAGGCACAACCAAACGAATTCAAGTAGTACATTTCTGAAACTACACTAATTAACTGTGCCCCTAAATAGCCCTGTCGTTTTTCTTTTCAGTTCCACCGATGCTGTCCATACCGAACCAGCTCGAAGGAGCCTACGTAGGCCAAGACGTTACCTTGATGTGCAACACCGAGGCCTACCCTACGTCCATAAACTACTGGACTACGGAAAGAGGAGACATGATTGTTTCGGGTGAGTACTTTACAACTCTCTGAAAAGTGAGCATTTACACACCTTTGCCTGTATAACTAAGTTCACTTCCTGGCTGTCTTACTGGCTTACATGTACACAGAAGTCACTACAAGCAGCAAACATGTTTCTCCAGCGATCCTAAAGCTTGTTTGGCTTCTAGTATCAGGTAGTTGTTGGATTGATTAACCAATAGCCTTCACATTTAAGCCAAATTTGTTCAGAGACAGTAGGTATAATATAGCATGCATGAATGAGACTAGAATGCCTATCGTACGTGACTCAGAAGATTTCATCTGGAAGAATTGTGGAGAATACTATTAAAGCTCTGAAACCGAAGCTCATCTAATTAATATTTATACATATAGTTTTTACCTCAAAACAAACACAACATGTCTGTGTCATAGTACACAGACCAGCCATTTAATGGTGTTTTGAGAAAATAATTGTTGCTTATTCTAAGATTCATATAAACACATTCTACGAAAAATTAGATATTTAATATCATATCATGTGGTTTGTATAGTTAAAATATTAAGCTTTAGAATGTTAAAATTAATTTTAAATAAACAGAGTGCGATGTTGTAATGTCCCAAAGGGTTTATTGGCAGTGCCTCGTTTTATAGGAGGAGGTTGTGGTACTGTGAGACTACATTCGATAGTTCTTACGTATTTTTAGAATACTTTCTCAAATTTTGAATAAAATATGCCATTAATGCTTACCGAGTTTGTGCCGCAAAAACCTATAGCTAGATCTATTTGAAATAAATATTCGGGAACTGAAGTAATTTAAATTAATTATATGTGATTATTTGATCAGCGATCTGATCCATTAAACACAGGAAATTACTGACGATTACTGGAATTACTTTCTTTAATGCACTTCTATCAGAAGCCGGTATCTGGTCAACGAAGTGAACAAACCAGATTTTCCTTCGCTTACATGTAGCACTGATAATAAATGACGTAAATTTATTTAACACTTCCCAATATGATCCACTGTACTTAATTTCCAATTGAGTCATTATTATACCTTGTGCTATCAAAACAACATATCGATAATGGATCGATATTTTTCACATTGCGAAGAAATATAAGGTGTATTAAAAAGAAGTACAAGTCACATAAAGACTTACTTGCATAAATTGCTAAAAATGGTACGTCTTTATGTTTCCCGCATAAATATATGGCCTGCGGGCGAATCATGTGATTTAAGAAAGAAGTTTTCTCTGCTAAGAATGTATATCATTAAGAAGTGAAACAAAATAAAACGTGGTAAAACATTATTATTTTAAAAATCCAGTCCTTAAAACACAAAGTCGTAACACTTGTACGATATTTATGTGGTTAAACGTTACGAAAATTTATAAATGTGTTGATATAAATAAGGTAAATATTCGTGTTACAGAGACATTTTACACAGTAAAATGGTTTTAAATAAATTTACTGTTTTGCGATGTGGGCCTATCTAGCGCAGAGGGCTGTAACCTTGGTGCCAAATTTAAACTTTTGTGTTATTCCAATCTGATATTTCAACTGTACCTTATACGCGCTGTTGTAAATAGAAGATTATATTTGTAAAGATCGTATACGGGCATTATGCACAAATCACTGTTTCCTACTTAGTTGTTCAGATGCATATTTGCACTTAGAGGCCTAAATTTTTCAATAACAACACTTGACGCTAAAACCTGTTCTACGTTACAAGCCATGATCCATTTAAACAGGTTTTAGAAGTACTTCTAATACGTTGGACAAAACTTTGAAATGACGTAGTAAATAGCACGGCTAATACATACTTTTGTTCTGAACTAAAGGCGGTGGAAAAGTATGACAGTAGAAAGGAAACACGATGAAATTACATCGCTGTACAAAACGGATAAACACATGGAAGAAGGAGAGTGAAGAAGATAAAATAAAAAGTCATTCCCCGAGAACTCCTGCGGGAATTTTCTGATAATTATTTATAATGAACAAAATTTTTTCTTGAACCTGTTAACATATAGCTTGCCTTTACCACAAAAGATTTCCCACTGTACAGTGACAAGGAATAATGTTTTACTGCAATGCGATTAAAAGAAATAGCACAGAAAAATGCATTAATTAGCTAGCGTTTATATCTGATATTGCTCCGTAATAACTTGGATATGGATGTAGGGATTAGACTGCGATGAAATGAGAAATGGAAAGGTACAAAAATGCAATCTGTAAGTTTTCCACGTTTGTTGCGAGCGCTTCGAATATGATCGTTTAATTTCCTGTACCGTTTCAATTTCGATGGTATTTGGTTCTAGATTGCCGCTGTGATATGGTAAAGTATTCGGAGTGGAAAATGAATGTTCTCTGAATTCCCAGAATCAATTTACACCAAGAGATGGTAAAAATTTTAATATTTGAACATGAAGAAAAAATAATTTCATTGCGGTCACTGGTCTCAGTAATAGTAAATTATCATTACGATAAATACTTGTTCTTATTAACCCACTTTTATATATCGACGAGTGAAGAATGTCATTCTCTAAGCTGAGTTTGTAACTGACAGACTCAACTTAAAAATCGATGAACTTTCTCATTTTGTTGAGGAAAGAATACAGATCCTATTACGGATGTTTAGTAATTATTTTGTAAAATTACAGTATAATTACAAAATATTTAAGATAATTTTATATAGTTTTCTTCTAAACGTCTAAATATAAGTAATAATTCATTGTTTGGGTCAGAAATAGAAACTAAGAAATAAAATTTAATACAGTACTGTTCTAAAATAAAGATGGAATGAAAGAACTCCCTTGGCTGCACAAGACGAAGATCTGAAGACTACAGAACTAATCTCGCTGGCTCGTAGCCTCCAGCAATTTGAAATACTGGACTTTGACGTTGATAATATTGCTCTTCTAAAACCATTTTGTTGTATTAACTGTAAGAAACTTCAAAACCTATTCCCTCCTCCGTATTTATACCACTTTACAGAAACGTCAAAATGAGTTCCAAAATGTAAGCTGAAGGAGACTGAATAAAGTACAAAAGAAATGAGTGGAACAAAGACCACTGCGGAAGATCAACAGGATAAATATCATGGCGCCTTATTTTACTCTAAAGAAAAGACTTTAAAACGATCGTTACATTTAATAAATATATAATACTGTCCTACTTTATAAAAACACATCAGACACTATTTATAACGAGACACGGAGAAATATCATAAACATTGTAGTACTGAATGAACACTAATTCTTCCTTCGGTTTTGAATAATGTATTTCAGCAAACATCGATGAATTTGGGAGTTCAGCAGACATTTCTATTACTGAAGTTAACCGATATTTCAGAGGCGCTTACTCATCGCCCTGATGATGGGGGTAGTAGTCACCTCCAGAGGTACTTAATGCCTACATTTTCTACCAGAGTACACGGCGCAATATTTCAGCAGTTAGTAATTTACATGCTCGCTGACGTAAAATCTGAAAATTCCACAAAAATAATGGCTTCGTTTGACTAATGTCAAGATTCAAATACCAGTTTTTGAACACAAAAAATGCAGAGCAGCTTGGGCCTCACGAAGTTAAATTTGTTCGGAAATCCAAACAAACCTTAGAGAATTATAACATTGCCGTTGACGTGTGGAAACACGACTCTTTCTTTTTTTATTACAGGAGACAAACACGAAGCCGTGACGACTGACAACGGCTATAACAAATTCATGATGTTGATGATACGCAAAGCAAGCAAGAGTGACTTTGGATCATACAAGTGTGTAGCCAAGAACTCGTTGGGAGAGACAGATGGAGTCATAAAACTATATGGTAAGCCTACCTATAGACCTGTACCCTTAATAACATTTTTAGGGCTGACAAATAGACTGATTGCGTAAAAGAATTAACACACAATATTCAGTAAGTGTACTCACTTTCCAATTGCTCCAATTCTGACTAGGTACTCTGCACACATTTCAAAGATTCTTGTAGGCTATCCCTTGAAATGTTGCTGAAAATAATTTTATTTTAAAAGCATAAAGTCACACAGAACGAAATAGGCAAGTGAAGCAGATTCTTTAGCACGGGTCCTTCATTTCGAATAAAATTTCGTTGTCATGAATTTCTATGTATAGAAAGGCGAACTCTTAACGTCTGAAACATGGAGGAAAAATGTCTGATAGACTGTTGGAAACAGACGAACAAATTTGTAGTAAATAATAAGTTTGGCATCCAAAGAAGATCATCATAATTTGAAATTTGATTTTAACACGGATATCGTACATCTTCCAACTTCTTCTTATCCGCTGAAATTTATAAGTAGAATTTTGATATGTATTTCTGAATTTATACCTTTAGTTAGGGAAATCTTGCAGTGTCCTTATTTGTGTTCTTTTCCTGCAATTTTTCGACCAAATTTGGATCAGATCACGAAGATGTCGTGTGACTATAGTCCTTTCACTATCGTTTTGAAACAATTTCATCCACATAGAAATTTGTTCTGTCTACCCTCCACGAACTTGTTCTAGAAGTTATTTTTTATGTCAGCGACAACTCTCCTCAATTCCACTACAACTTAAAGCAGATTATCAAACTCTGTATCTCTTTTGTGCTTTCGAACATCATATTATTTATATTGATTCAAATGCATCGTAATACATTTAGTCACCAGCTGTTAAAATAATATGAGGACTATCAGTGTACATTTTACACGCTAATCTAGAACACAATAATATTAAGAATATTTTCCTACCTTTTCAGAGATACCAGCTCCTTCAACTACCTCAACGTCGACGGTTTTGTCTGTGACGTCACCAATGACTGCTAGAAAGAAAGGTAAAAATTAGTTGTTATTCATACACTCGCATGACGATCTCTTTGAATCGGTTACTGTATCTACATTAAACCATGGAATTCAGTGTCTCACTATGCATCCCGTCTAAGGGCAGCCATTGGCGCACAACGGAAACTCTGGCTGCTTGACTAGTGACGTAAGCTATGGAGCTGTACAGCACGGTGCAAGCAGCCTCTTCCCTGCCTCCAAGCTCCACTCAGGAGCCATCGTGCGATGTAAACAATCACGAGCTCCCACCGCCCAAATCGGCAGCCCTTGGTCAGACGGTATATAGCCGATAAATTAAAAAATGATTTTAGACAGGAAAAAATATTTCCCCCACACGTAACAAAGAAGAGCGATCCTAGGAGAGCAGGTTAAAGTTGCGAGAAACAGGAAAGGAGAAATTTTATAAACTAAAGACCAAATACTTGTCGACTATTCGCCATCTTTTATGTAATCGATACTGTCAGAAACCAGCCACTGATCTGTAAGATTTGAGGTTTTCACAGCGGTGAGTCTGAAGATTTCCGTCTTCTGGGTTGTTGCGCTGTGTAGTCTGGTCGATGTTAACCAACGTTTTAGAGGTCATACTGCCTCCGTCATCAGGGCGATTCTTAGTATGAAGATTTCTGTCTTCTGGATTGTCGCGCTGTGTAGTCTGGTCGATGTTAACCAACGTTTTAGAGGTCATACTGCCTCCGTCATCAGGGCGATTCTTAGTATGAAGATTTCTGTCTTCTGGATTGTCGCGCTGTGTAGTCTGGTCGATGTTAACCAACGTTTTAGAGGTCATACTGCCTCCGTCATCAGGGCGATTCTTAGTATGAAGATTTCTGTCTTCTGGATTGTCGCGCTGTGTAGTCTGGTCGATGTTAACCAACGTTTTAGAGGTCATACTGCCTCCGTCATCAGGGCGATTCTTAGTATGAAGATTTCTGTCTTCTGGTTAGTTGCGCTGTGTAGTCTGGTCGATGTTAACCAACGTTTCAGAGGTCATACTGCCTCCATCATCAGGGCGATGAGTATGAAGATTTCTGTCTTCTGGGTTGTTGCGCTGTGTAGTCTGGTAGATGTTTACCAACGTTTCAGAGGTCATACTGCCTCCATCATCAGGGCGATGAGTATGAAGATTTCTGTCTTCTGGGTTGTTGCGCTGTGTAGTCTGGTAGATGTTTACCAACGTTTCAGAGGTCATACTGCCTCCATCATCAGGGCGATGAGTATGAAGATTTCTGTCTTCTGGGTTGTTGCGCTGTGTAGTCTGGTAGATGTTTACCAACGTTTCAGAGGTCATACTGCCTCCATCATCAGGGCGATGAGTATGAAGATTTCTGTCTTCTGGGTTGTTGCGCTGTGTAGTCTGGTAGATGTTTACCAACGTTTCAGAGGTCATACTGCCTCCATCATCAGGGCGATGAGTATGAAGATTTCTGTCTTCTGGGTTGTTGCGCTGTGTAGTCTGGTAGATGTTTACCAACGTTTCAGAGGTCATACTGCCTCCATCATCAGGGCGATGAGTATGAAGATTTCTGTCTTCTGGGTTGTTGCGCTGTGTAGTCTGGTAGATGTTTACCAACGTTTCAGAGGTCATACTGCCTCCATCATCAGGGCGATGAGTATGAAGATTTCTGTCTTCTGGGTTGTTGCGCTGTGTAGTCTGGTAGATGTTTACCAACGTTTCAGAGGTCATACTGCCTCCATCATCAGGGCGATGAGTATGAAGATTTCTGTCTTCTGGGTTGTTGCGCTGTGTAGTCTGGTAGATGTTTACCAACGTTTCAGAGGTCATACTGCCTCCATCATCAGGGCGATGAGTATGAAGATTTCTGTCTTCTGGGTTGTTGCGCTGTGTAGTCTGGTAGATGTTTACCAACGTTTCAGAGGTCATACTGCCTCCATCATCAGGGCGATGAGTATGAAGATTTCTGTCTTCTGGGTTGTTGCGCTGTGTAGTCTGGTAGATGTTTACCAACGTTTCAGAGGTCATACTGCCTCTGTCATCAGGGCCAGAAGACAGAAATCTTCAGCCACTGATCTCTTTTCGGAATTAGATCTGTCCAGTTCAAACACTCACGCCTGTTTACTTCAGATTTGTTTGACTGTTATCTCCTCTTCTATGACAAGGGCTACCAACAAGCCTCCCTTAGCGTAGCCTACTAAAATATGACACAGCCATTTTACCATCCTTAATTTTATCGTACTAAGAATGTTACTGATGAAAAGTACACCTACAAATTACGAAGTTCATTAATATGCTGTTTTCACTGTATTTCATTTACTTTCTTCCTCTTAACAGTATTTAGAAGTGTAGAATTCTCACCATTTTAACGACTCAGTTATAAATTCTGTTTTTTGTTTCATTCGGTACAAAGTTAGGATTACATAAAACTGCACTATCTTTTTACAAACAAAAAACGAAGAACGGAGATCATATTGATAAAGAGAGGGAAACACACTTGGCACCCTCGAATTTGTTGTCTGTTTTTCTGTGTCTCAGAGAACAGAAGATTCAACTACATAATGGACACAGGCACTCTCAGAATATGTTACGATAATGCTCGTCTTATGTGCCGTTTTAAACGGTGTGTTCAATTAAGTAACCTGATATTTAATTCGTGCTCGTTGTAGTAAGATTTTTCATGTGCTCTTTCGCTCTGTGCTCGTTATACACGTAACAAAAAGCGACTATAGGTCCACCATTAAAATAAACTAGTTGTATAAGTCCTTAAACATGCTGTAAATTGCTCCTTTCATACACTAAATTACTATACAACATTCTCGATTTCGATCCTTGTGAATTATCATTATTATTCTTATAGTTTATTTAACGACGTCTTTTTTTTAATTCAGACTATAAAGAGCAGCGATCCTCGTAAATTGATATATTTTATATTCGAAGATAATTGATGCCATTTTTTTCTATCCTTTAAAAGACAATTCACCTTGGTTGCCTTTGCATGAATTATGTATTCATATTAAATCACTTTTCGGGCACCACAAACATAATAACGTATTTTAATTCCGGGGTCGTATAATTATATTTTCTCACAGTGGAGAGTATGGCGATGGCTGTCCTCTGGATCATAACGTCGTACAGTCTGGTAGAAATTTATCGCATTGCATGGCGTTACAACTCAGAATACAACCATATTCAAGATAAACGTCTGCCAGACTACACGGTGTTACAAGCCAGAAGACAATATTCTTTATAATTCCTAGATTATTTACTAATGTTTTAAGTTATGTAGGTCAAACAGCGTTGAAAGATATGAAAAGGTGGTCATGAATAGTAAAATAATGCCTACGCAGCCTATGCAAAGGATTTACAAATGGAAAAATTTATGCTTAGGCAGGAAAGCTATATGAAACAAGAAGAGGAAGAAGAAGAGTAGTATTAGTAGTGGTAGTAGTATTAGTAGTGGAGTAGTAGTAGTAGTAGTGGTGGTAGTAGTACTAGTAGCAATAGTAGTAGCAGTAGTAGTTTAGCATATTGACACGCCGTTTCCGTACATATTCTAATTATAATTTGTACTGTCCTTCTTCAGACACTCATATACTACTTAATTTATTAATTAAAAGGGCGAGTTGGTGTTATTTTTACATTATAATATCCAATCAAATTATTCATTTCGTCTTTTTGTGAACATGAATTTCATTAACCAGATGGATTTCGTTAGCGGCAAAAATAATATCATAGCACCCTTGAAGAGACTTATTCCTTGCATAGACAAATGAACTGTAATGTAATGTATTAGACTGCAGAAAATATACGTACAAATCAGTCACGATAAACTGGACCAGTTATAATTCATGGCATTTCAGAAACCAATCATTCATACGTAGTCCAACTGCTATATGATTTTTATTTATATATTGTAACAGAATTAGTCACCAGGAGCTGCAATGATACGAAAACAAACAATATTTATTTCCACAAGTTAATTTATCATTTTTGGTTTACATTTTCAATTGCCAGCTTGGTCATAATAAGTTATGGATTCAGTACCATTACACTTTACGTGCACTGACAAGACGACAAAAGTTATCTACATTAAATATACAGCATTTAAAAAATTGAAATTCAGAATTAATATACGCACACCAAGAACTAATCTGTCACACGAAAGAACAAATGCGCGTCTCTTAATGCAAAGGATGTGATGGCATTTATTCGTGAAACTTCAGTTCATTTTTACTCGTAGCTGCTTTTATCTTTAACAGACCTGTCACACTGATCTGAAATTCCCATTATCCAATAGCAGAATCACGCCTTTAACGAAGTAGCGAAATACTGTCCTTGTTTCGTATTCCATATATGAATAAAGGTTGAAGCGGCCAAGAATATAAATATGGGAAATGAGTCAATATTGATCTTCCATGGGAATCCTCCCCTCCCTCCATACCTGTTTCTACTTTCATGCTCTCTGGATCAAATCAACATATACGTACGGGCAGGTCAGAGTCGTGTGTAGAGAAGCCCGCAACAGAGAACAGGAAGTAACCTGTTTCAACAGAACCAATCAGAAAGCGTAAAAAGCTGTAGTAAATATGCTAACCCCCATACCTCTGCTATGACACATTCAACAGATTTTTGAATGGGGGCGTGGAACGGTCAAGTTTCGAGTAAAAATATATGTTTAACTCCCCGCACAATTCAAAAACTTTAACGAAATTACTAATTACGAGAATGAATGGAGATTTAGACTTTGACGTCTATTAAGCCTCTATGACACAATTAGTCTAAATAAGCGGTCAAACAAGTGAACTGCCCGAGTAATTTAACTGAAACCTTGGGCGTGACACACTTTGTTGACGATTGTTACTAACAAAGACTTCTGAGAGAGTCCATTTCATTCCACTACAACATACATAAATACAAAAAGTCAACTAAATTCCGGTCTGAACAGACAAAATGAAAAGAGTAGCATTTAACGCTATTACTGCAAATGGGCCTTTTCGAATAGAGTCCCCCCGGGCAGGATGTGCAGCTCAAAAATTA